ACCTTGCTAAGCCTGTAGATCTATTATGTACAACTTCTGAAAAAAAACAAGTTTACCAACCTTTCTATATGCCAGCATGGTGCCAAAAAAAGGGACTGGTTTGGGACCAGGAATGCCCAATTTCTTAAATGTTCCAAATGTCCAGCAGGAATACCTGTAAAACAAAACAAAACAAAAAAAACAGAAAGAAGAGAAGAGATTTTTATCACACAGACAAACACAAATAAACACGGTACAAATACCTGTTACAAGTATTCTTAAACACTTACACAAAGATCAATGTGATGAGAGCCACCAGAAGGGTCCAGGTCTCAGCGGAGAAAAAGAGGGAGAAGCCCATCTCTGCAGGTTTTCTCTTCTTTCAATGGTCGCACAAGCTCCACTAACACCTCAAATCACTGACCATCAGTTTTTATCTGCAGCACTTCCCTTGCGTGTGAGTAAGGTGTGTGAGAGTTGAACCAATAGGAAGTCGGCAGTGTCATGTGAATCATTGACAGAAAGAGACCAAGCAGCATTCATAATTATCTGTGACTCTGCAATTTTGGGACCTAAATTATTATATAGCTTGTGTTAAGAAAGATAGGACTCACGCAAAGTTCATGATAGCAGCTTAAAGTAATATGTAATATATTCTTAAATATATATTATTCTTGTATGTCTCCTGCTACTTGTGATTCTAATGTTTCAGGCACACACAGACATAATAACATAATCACAGTAGGCCACTTAATGCACTCTATTACTGAAATATCTTGTAAAACATGAACTCACTTCCTGGGCTGATACTTGAACAAAACATTTTTTCTTTTTTAAGATTTCGGTCCTACAGTTTACTGAGGGTGGAAAGAAATATGCAAACACTTGCGTAATATAACTAGAACATTTTGCAAGACATTTTGACAGTGTGGCTGCTACTGCCCGAAGACGTTGCAATACGCTAATATTACCAGTAGTCAGATGTATCATTGAGGTTCATTTGAGATATCGCTTCTCTCATTTCTGCATTTTAGATTCATACTCTTGGATTGAATCTTGTATTTGTGATGGACAGTCTTGAAATTGAGAGCAGCGATTGCTTCATAGAAACAAATAGTTGACACACACGCACGCGCTGCATCATTTCTGTATTTAAGATACCTCTGTTTGAGATACATACCTTTGGAAATGACGAGAGCTATCGCTGACGTCATAGCACACGATTCCCGATCAGGCCGCATGTTTTGATGTATTTTTGACGCATGTGCGTGCAACGCTGTGGGAGGAGATACGCTGCAAACTTTTGTATGGAAGATGCAGAATTAGAAGATTGTCATTATGATTAACCCCGCAGGATTATAGTCAGTGTGCGCCACAGCCTCACTGAATGAAAGCCCGTGCAGTCAGCCTGCAATACATATTAGTACTTCCTTTGTTAGAGCTTTTGTTATCAGAGAAGTGTTGATTTAACTGCATGATTAGGCGATGAGACAACAGTGGGTGGTGCTGTTGTGTTATGGTGTATTGCAAGATGTTTTTTGTCACCTGACCTCGTCTCTTATGACCACGTGTGACTTACAGGGAAATACATTTCCCTTGTATTTTTATATGTTGTATTTTATATTTTCAAGCCT